GGGAGACCTCAATACAGCTGCTCATCCGGGGGGGAGGGGAGACCTAGCACCCCTGCTCACCTGGGGGAGGGGAGACCTCAGTACACCTGCTCACCTGGGGGGGTAGGTGAGACCTCAGCACCCCTGCTCACCTATCTGGGTGGGGGGCACTCATGCCCAGGTGTGGTCAGGTGGTGACTGCAGTAACTAGTACACACAGGGGAAAGCTCTGTCTCAGCTCAGGCTGCCTCACAAAGACCACAGGAGGTGGTTCACACAGTGGACTGTGTCTCCTGGTCCTGGAGGCAGGAAGTCTGGGATCCAGGCACAGGCAGGGCTGGTTACTCCCCAGGCCTCTCTCCCTGACGTATACGTGGCCATCTTCTCCCTGAGTCCTCGCAGGGTCGTCCCTCTCTGCCTGTCTGTGTCCTAAACTCCTTTTCTTGCAAGGACACCAGTGTTAGGGAATTAGGGTCCAACCCTAGTGACCTCACTTTACCGTAAATCGGCTCTTTAAAGACCCAATCACCAATACAGTCCCCCTCTGAGGTCCTGCAGGCTGGCTCCAGTGTGTGAATCTGAAGCCCAGTCAGCCCATAACAGGCTCTCGTCCTGCAGATGTGTGTCCCCTCCCTTCCTAGCCCAGGGAGGTGGCCTGGGGGCGGCTGTCATTAGTGAGGTGATGTGGGGCACAGACACACTGGCCCAGATAGACACCCACGACTTCACAGGTAGGAGGGAGTCATGTGATTGCACCCCAGGATGGCAGTCACGAGAGGCCACAGCTGGCCTTCCAAGGACAGACCGGCCCACCGAGGCCCTGAAAGCAGGGGGTTATGTTGGCCAACAAGTGGGTGATTCACCAACTATATGGAGGGACGGAATCCACGGCGACAGATAAGATTGCACACACTCCTGTGTGCATGTTTCCACAAGAGAAGCAAATGCCACATGCAGGGAATCCATGCATCCGTCCCGTTTGCCTGGCTCAGGCCCAGGTTTTTGTCTGTTGTCCTGACCTCTGTGGGTTTTGTCCCCAGGAAGGGGCCTGTTCTAGATGACAGGTTATATGGTAGCTCAGGCTACGTAGCTCAGAGGAACGTTTTGTCTTCTATTAAAAAGCAACCTATCTACAAACTAACATGTGGACCTTTTTGTCACTCACAGTGATGCTGAACTACAAAAGGCACATTGATGGTCACCTGCCCTGTGCCCTCAATTCCACCCATGGGTTCACTGGCACAGCTTCCATGTCCCCAGGCATTATGTGGGGAGAACAGGAGGCCTGGCCAGGCCAGCGCGTAGGATTCCTGTGTGCAGCCAAGACCGGGTTACGCTCTGGAAAGTGGGCACAGGGCTGTGGGAAAACATCTTAGCCTTTCTAGCACTACAGACCAGAAATGCAGGCACAACGCCCCAGATTCCTCACGAGGCTTTGCCAATCTCCCTCCTTCTGTGTCTTGCAGGACATGAAGGAGCTCCTGAGCAGGTACGTGGCCAGCTGCAGGGGAGGCACTGATGGGCGCAGGGAGGGCTCTGTGTGGGGTCAGAGGGGACAATGACCCTGTGTCCACTGGAGGAGGAACAGCCTGAGTGTACAGTACCCAGAGGCCATCCCAACTGTGCTGAGGACAGTCTGCAGGGTCCCTGGGCAGACAGAGGTGCTGAAGAGTTTCCAAGGTAAGCAGGAGCCCAGCCGGGGGGACTGTCCTTTATGGGACATTCACACTCTGTGCCCTTTCTGTTCCTATGGGGACACATGGTGAGGTGCCCAAATGGCCCCCAGCTCCCAGCTCCTTAGCACCACCAATATGGACAGTTGGGGGAGGGACCCCAGTGGCCCAGGTATACAGCTGGACTCAGCCCTGGAGCCTGGTTAGGGAGAGCAGGGATGATTCGCTGCCCCCTTCCCTCCATCTGCAGAGGATGTGGTGCCGGACCCCGCCACCGCCTACCCCTACCTCCTCTTGTACGAGAGCCGCCAGAGGCGCTACCTGAGCACGCCACTGGAGGGCGCGCTCCACAGCAAGGACCGGTTCCTGGCCTACCCCTGCGCCGTGGGCCGGGAGACCTTCTCCTCGGGCAGGCACTATTGGGAGGTGGGCATGAACCTCACCGGTGACGCTCTCTGGGCCCTGGGCGTGTGCAGGGACAATGTGAGCCGGAGGGACAGGGTCCCCAAGTGCCCCGAAAATGGGTTCTGGGTGGTGCAGCTGTGCAAAGGGAAGAAGTACACACCCGGCACATCTGCCCCAACCCCTGTCACGCTGGCCGAGCCCCCCAGCCACATGGGGGTCTTCCTGGACTTCGAGGCGGGGGAGGTGTCCTTCTACAACCTGAAGGACGGGTCCCACATGCACACCTACGCCCAGCTGCGATTCTCCGGCCCCCTGAAGCCCTTCTTCTGCCTGGGGGCCCCTAAATCAGGCCAGATGGTCATCTCTACAGTGACGCTGTGGGTGAAGGGATAGGGGCACAGGCCGGGGGAAGGGGGGCGCGGGCGTCCCTGGTTTCTCCAGAAGGTGAGGTGGCTCCACTCAGCGCAGGCCACCTGCCAGACATATCTAAGGTGGTGGAGCGCTTGTGAGCCACTGGCTGGCTGCTCTCAAAGCTGAAGTGTAATCGCGATTAAAGCCTTTAAATATCAAGAGACTGTATTCACACATGCGTCATAAAGGAGGCTTTGAAAACCGTTGGGTTTCACAGTGGGCCGATTCTAAGTGGGGACCTCCCGTGCCCGGCGCAGCGTGGGATGCTGTTGGTTAGCCCCCACTTCGACACACGCCCAAGCAGGGATGCTGCCTGCGCACGGGCTGCTTGTGACTCGCAGAGCAGGGCCCACCTTGTCTTCCAAAACTTCCACGTTTGCACGCACCTTTCGCGGGTGTCATGGGGAAGGGGGGACCATGGGAAGATGACACTTTCCAAACTGCATCGCTGAAACCCTCAGAGCAGTCCAGCCTTGAAGGTGCACCTGCAGGGATCACGGGTCACGGGGTGGGGGGGGGGGGGGCGGGGGTGGTGGTGGTGGTGGGA